ATAAATAATCCCCTTTCCATAAATAATCCCTTTTTTCATAAATAATCCCCTTTTCCACTGTTCGATGCAAACTGTGACATCACATATTAGCTGAATAACATATTAAGATTTTAACTTAAAACATGATGCTCTTGGATCCAACATGCTATGAAGAATTGCTTTCACACACAAATGAATGCTGATTGAAAGTAGATTCAGTCACTGAACTACTCCTTGTAAACATGCATATCCAACATTTTAGGATATGCGAATGCTCTGCTACCAGGGTGAAAGAGCAGGTACCGTAGATGTATGGGCGCACTGCTCGTCACTCTGGGGATGAGGTTGATTTGAATCTGAGTGAAAAGTGGATGCCATATTCAAAGACCAGTGATGAAATCTGTGCATCAGGGATATGTTGGGGAAGTATTGTTGGGAAGGGAAAAACTCAGAATCAAAATGCTACATATGATGGAATGAGAGTAAAGAACCTGTGATGCTTTCAAGTTGCTAAGCTGACTACCTAAAGTGATGAATTAAATTGCCGATTGATATAAGAGCCTTAGGTCTGGTTCCCAATGTGCAATTATCAAGTGTCACTCAGAATCACTACAATACACAAACCAGCTGTTAACAACTGCAAGAGGATGTATTTCCCTACCTCCCTATGTGCTTGCAGTTTAAAAAAAAACGACATTCATGGGGTGCCCTACCTTCTTGGAGTAGAACTTTCTCTTGGACTTCTTGGTGGCCTTGGTTGTGGACGGCTCCCTGTTCTCCAACGGCTTGACCCGGTAGATGCGGACCAGCCAGTGCTCGGTGGTGTAGGCCTCCTCCAGGTGCTTGAATGAGATGTCCTTGTTGCCGATCTCGGCATTGCGGGTGCGGTCGTAGCCCGCCGGGCTCCGGAAGTCCAGCTGGAGGGGGAAAACGGGCAAAGTCAGATGTCGATTTGGCAGAGGCAATCACATGGACGTCCGACGAAGGATGGGGGAGCCCTCCAAAACTGGTCGTCCTCATGACATCTACGCAGATGGCACTACTAGGAAGGGGTGGGGCCAGAGATTATTTTCGAAAACTGCAGAGGGATGCCAAATTGACATAAGCTTGGGTGCTCCTCTATTCACTGGCACTAGTAGAGATCAACTGACCAATAAAACGAGACCACCATAGCCACTGTAAATTCACTATCTCCCAACCTCCCCCTACCCCGATCACAACCTTTTGCGCTGAATTGCAAGAGCCTGGAAAAGTCAATGCGAGAAGATCCCAGGCGATCAAATTTCACCTGAATGCAAACAAACTCACGGACTCTGCGTCAAGAGTGCAGCCACTGACAATGGGCTAAAAAAAATGCAAATGACATTCAGGTGTTACTTTAAGTAACAGTGTCTTCCAATTTTACCACAGATGCAGAAACGCCACACACGAGTGTAATATTTGGGTTTTTCCAATTGTTGGTCAAACTGTCAGCTTACGCTGAAAGGCAATTCAAAATTTCAAAATTGTTTTCTTCATCAGGTCCTAATTCCAAACAAGTCTTTTCCCAGATGTTCAAATCATGACTTACATGTACACCTCCATTCCGTTAACAACATGCTTACAAATCACAAAATCAACAAAGCTTTCCTGGACAGAGAGCACTTTGTGGTACGTCAATTGCTACAACATTCTGAATGGCAGATATGTTGTACTCTCAAGTAATTGGGACGCTTGGACAAAAAAAAACAAATCCCACCATGAGCTAATCCTGTTACTGTCCAACTGAAATGAATCATTTTGAAAGTGACTGGCTCTGTGTTAGCAGGGCATACCTGCATTTCTCCAAAGCGGTAGTAACACATCTTATACATCAGACAGTTGAGAAGCGTTGGAGAACCAGAACTGTCCACGCGAAACTCCCCATTTACTGTAAAGTAATCCGATTCCTGCACAGATCAACAACACATGACAAAGGTCAAAGTTGAAAGGTCACTGTTAAAGGTTCATACTGCTAACAGTATTCTCACGGTACTAGGAGGAATAAGGACAGAAAACAGGACTTACAAGTGAAGTCATGTGAATGTGAATGCTAGAAATGTTGCCATTTTTAAGTCTATGCCTAACACTGTTCTTTATAAGTAAAGTTGATGATGGCTTTCTACCGTGGCCATTCTACACGTATGCTCAATCTATAATGCTTTTCTCAAGTTTAACCATTTCGCGCCGGTGGCAGTTATCAATCTTGTTAATGTTGGGACTGGACAATTATTTTTTTCTGGTTGTCAAAATTCTTTAAAAACTCCTATCATCATTTACTGGACACTGACACCCACCTGAAGGACTGTCTGGTTTCTACTCTAATCTGATAGGCGACATCTATTGACGCTGGAGTATTCCAGCCAGGCCTGCTGCCTTGTAAAAAGAGCCCAGATTGTACGGTGTTACGTAATTTTCTTTTGTTCGCGAAACTGGCACAGTGAGCTGCTGACCACTTTTCAATAGGGGCCAGATTAAGGTGCAGGGGTACTGTGAGGCTCATTGCTGCGGTGGTGGAGCGCTTTTGTCCCCGGTGGTAATCCGCTTGCACTAAATCCCAAAACCGTGGTATACTGTTTCAAAACAAGGCTGGATTATCTCCACTATTGAGAGTGAAAAAATATCGGTAATGCCCAGCAGCCTGGACTTTTGTTCCGAGTACAGCCTTTTGCTACAAGGCCCAGTTCCCTTTGTCCAATTTTGGAGACCTCGGCCACGCGCATAAAGAATACATGTCCGATACCAGAAACCCCGGCGGCAAGTGGTTAATAGCCAATTACAGCAAAGTTCAGAATACAATACTTTCCTCTGAATCTATTGTACTACTCATCTGGTCTCCATACTTGAAACATGCGGAGGTGCTTTGTTAGCTAGCAATGATGTCATTTGCAGCCTGACATACTTTTCATCCTACCATGCAAAGTAGATTAGGTTTGTATATACCCAATCCAGCGCTGTGGTTGGCAGTTGTTGCAAGACCATCACAAGCCCTCTGAGCCTGACTTTAAAACTCACACGCTATTCAAATGAACTGCAACAAAAGCATTCATCTGTCATCGTTCAGCCTGTTACTCGTGAATGGTCTTGTGACTGGTCTTCAGAAGGTCTCGACTTCCAAAAAACGACACACCGCTTACTCTAATGTCCTTGGGGTGCTCTCCTTCAGCGATGCGAACCATCCACAGGAACTTGTTGATGTCATCCCCGGAGTAGCCAATCACACCGCCGAATATGACCAGGACATAGTCCACATCCAGAGCCCTCATGATCTTGTAAGCTTCCGTCTCATTGGACGACATAGCCTTGCCCACCTGAGGGAAGTATGAATATTCATCACATGATGCTCAAACAACGATATTTCCAGGATATGCGATTCAGTTCTCCAGATGAATAATTATCTTTAGGATTTTAAAAATTTTTTTAATAATTCATTTCAACTGACTGGAAATTTTCATGATATTGATGTTACATGTATATCATAGACTTCTGCAAGTGTTATTTCCTCGATCACAAAGCAACAAACTGCTAAATGTAAAGTCATCGAACATGCTTCATGTGTTTTCTCAAAAGCCTCTGCCAGCTCAAACAGACAACTGATATAAATACACATCACAGATGCCCCTGGTTTAATACAGCGGGCACACTCAGCAAATAATTGTTTCCTGCCCCAAACTTCGCACAGTAGCTGGCACAATGGTATCCCCGATGTCTGGACCCGTCTGGTGTACGGTGACAACCTCGGTGGACTGGTCTATAAGCGTGATTTCACCCACGAGAAAACACTCCAATGTGAGCATGTCTCAACCTTACCAGTGCTATGGGGTGGACTGGTCTATAAGCGTGATTTCACCCACGAGCAAACACTCCAATGTGAGCATGTCTCAACCTTACCAGTGCTATGCGGTGGACTGGTCTACAAGCGTGATTTCACCCACGAGCAAACACTCCAATGTAAGCATGTCTCAGCCTTACCAGCGCTATGCGGTGGACTGTCTATAAGCGTGATTTCACCCACGAGCAAACACTCCAATGTGAGCATGTCACAGCCTTACCAGTGCTATGTGACTGTTGTTCCAGGTGTTGTTGTCCACCAGGGTTGTCCTGTTCGCCATGCCAGCTATCTGGTACCCGTAGTCCCACCACGACATCACCCGGTCCCGCTCGCCTGTGTTCTTTCTCAGCCAGTAGTACGCTTCCCGAAAGTCGTCTAAGATATTGCGGGTTCTGTCCAGAAACACACGAGGGGGCATCAAAGGTGGATCCAGTACTAAGTTTTTTTTTGGGGGGGGGAGGGAGGGGCAAGAATTTGTAAAGGGGAGGGGACCAACAAATTTGAAATTTCTTTATGTAATCTTTTATTATATTTTGAGGGGTGCAGTTAAATGTTGTGACTTTTGCATGCTTTGGGAAATGAAATGGAATGAAACAAAATGAAACGAAACAATGCCCCCAAACAAAAAAATCACCTTTTCCCTTTCTTTCCAAAGTTAAATAAAATGTTGCCCCTTTTGGAGTGCCACAGCCCTCCCCCATACGCCACTACCGGGCATTATCATTATTTAACAAAACAATGGGGAGAATCTCCTTTTCTGGCAATTTGCCAACAATGTTCAAGACACTCAGTTCTGCATCACACATATTCAGTTTGTGGAAACTGAGAAAATGCCTATGCAGTCAGTTTACAGCAATCTGTTACTCAATCTGACAGAGCCAACACGAGTTTCTGCAACCCGGCATGATTACAAAGATGACATCAGTGAGTGAGGAGTTTTTATTCCCAGCCAAACAAATCAAACACTTTCTTGCTTCTAACGTTTCCACTGATAGGAAAACATTTCAAGACAGTGAAATGACAGGAACCAGTATCCATGAACAGGACAAGGGTATCACCATGGAGAGTATCAGCTTTTAATGAAGTTGGCAAGTTTTAAGGTCGTAAAAACTGTCTTGGCAGAGTGTCACATTCTTTCATCCCCTCTGAATTGAATCTGTAAGTATTGCTAAAAGGAAATAAAGCAACCATGGTAAGGTGGATGAAGTCGCTTTAGCAAAACTATGAGAAAATGTTCGATGCCTGATAAATGTTGCAAAATTTTGCTGGTGTTTGGAAACTATAAATCTTGGGGGTTGAACTGGAAGAGATGATGCAGAAAAGGAAAACTTGAGAATTTTCTCTAGCAGGGATGATTTGAAGTCTTGATCTCACCCGTCATTGTTGTAGGTTGCCAGCACTATACTGGGGCTGGAGTAGGCGTTGCTGGTCACCCAAGTGCAGTGGACAGCAAACATCATCAGCATCATCAAAATCGCCATGACAACAAAGCCCTTCAGGTTGGTCCCCAGGCCCTCGTTGTCCTTGTCCTGGTCAAGTTTGGGCTTACGGACTTTCCCCGCCTGAAGAGTGACAGTGATCAAGTTGTTTCATGGATTCTTTTTCTCCCTGGAAACACTTCACTGGCATTTTTGGTGGGACGTGAAAAAGGCCTGATACACAAATGCAACCTGACGCCCTAAACATGCCTGGCTTGAGGCGTGTGTAACTTTGATGAGCTAGCAGCATGAATACCTAACTGTGACATCACAAACCCGCATGTGCATTCCCCTTCCTCTAATGCTTAAACCAGCCATTAAGCTAAGAGCAGAACGCGGGCAACTTTGGAGCTAAATTCGTTTCTTGCAAGTTCTAGGGCGGCAATGAGTGTACACTGTTTAGCAACTTAACTTGGCAAGAGGCAAACCCAAATGCGACTGAACCTAACAAAAAGAGTGGCAAGTTACGGGAGCGGCTTTTAAGTTAACGGTCTTTAACAGAGTCTTGCCTGATGGAAATCAATCCAAACTCTCATTATTTTTCACTCGCCCGAACTGAAAGACACATCATGGTAAAGAACTCGGTCCGCTCTCTCAAACGCAAACTGAAATTTGCACCTCTCTGTTGCCACTTGTTATTGCCTGTTACAAACGAGGGCCGTCGTGACCTCTGACCTTGTCATACAGCTTGCGGTTCTTCCGGTCCACCTCCTCCTCATCCTCTTCAGTCTCCTCCCCCCCTTCCTCGTCGTCCTTCTTCTTGTCCGTGTTCTCGTTGTTCAGGTACTCCGTCAGTGTCTTGGAGATGGCAATGGAGGCCAGGATGCAGACCACGGGTGTCAGGGTCAGCATCAGACGCACCATGACACCGGCAAAGTAGACAGCGCTGAGCGCATACAGGACAACTGTCGATTAGCAACAGACAGAGAAAACACCATCAAAGAGGCTGTTGACAACAGTGAGTCAAGTGTGAGCAATAACTGTAGTTTGACCACTGGTGCAAAAACAATTCAGCCGGGACAACCCTACTGAAATCACTTTGTGAAATCCCACTGCAATCACCCTTTTCCACTGGTTGCACGCCTTGTAACATTCGTGGTCCCCACATTCTCAAGCTGTCAAGACTAGATACTCCAAGTATCTATCATTTGGGGGGAAGTTGGTCTGACAATGGTTTGAGTGTAGTTATATCCAAACTTGTCCAAGACTGCTTCCAAAATGTTTCTTGTGCCAGTTTTAGTTACAACTTCATCTGATCGTGAAATGCTTGAAAAATTGTCAAGAGCATTTTTTTTCCATGTTCTGCTTAGGCCCAATCGATTCATTTGTCTAAAAGTCATCAAAAGGAGAAACAAACAAATGGCGGCTGGCCGATGCAACTTACTGAAAACCCTCTCGTCGTTGATGTCCTTGATGACAAACCACAGGCCCGCTGGGAAAGTACAAACCAAGATGTGAAGGTCAAAGAAGAAGGACACCCAAGTGGTGGGCTGGTGCTCTGAGACGGACGCTATGATGGGGATGTGGATCTTGGCGTACCTTGAGGGTGGGAAAACAATTCGGTTGATGAGCAAGAGATCCTGAAATACAAGCGATTCACAATAGTGCACCACCAAGAGTTTGCAGTGCATTGGCCAATCAGAACGCGCGGAATTTGTCGACCCTTTCCAAACGCGCAATGGGTCGACAAATTCCGCGCATTGTGATTGGCCAACGCATTACAAACTCTTGGTGGCGCACTATTGTGAAAGTCGTATTACTCTTGGGAATTCCACCTTCACAAAATATTGCCTATGCAGTTTTCAACAAATCTGTGCAGAATTTTGCAGTGGCAATAAAAAAATTGGCATTTTTTTGTTGGGAAGTCTATCAAAATATGTAGAAATGTAAAGGAACAACTTTTGCACTCAAACTTCAAGGATATCAAGCTCCATATTAAGTAATAGTGACTGGGTTCTATCTTTCTGATTTCTTGCCCAAATATTTCACAATCTGCCCTCTGGGATTTTGAATGGTACAGCAAGGGCTTTGCTCTTTGAAGCCAAGTGTCAAATCCACGCATCTCCTACAACCTTAAACACACCAAAATATAAAACACCCTGTACACGCAAGCTGTTTACAACTTAAACACCGAGCTACAAATTTAAGACTTATTTTATTGTATATTGAGTGAAAAGTTTGGGATTTAACCTCCAAGACAATTTCCTCAGCTATGAATGAACAATTCTATGATGATCATTCTCATCGAGTTGCTATGGCTGTTCAATTGCAAGACAGATTGGAGAGAATCACATTTGATCACCCAAGCCGGTAAAACAAATGTACACACATCTGTCACACAAGCGCATTTTTGATTCGGTTATTTTGTACTCAATTTGAGTGTACCCACGAACAAGAAAACATATTCCTGCCAGTGGGATGCGAAAATATGGCAGTCCACAGCGATCACTGAGCTTTGAAAAATTGACGCCATAAGTACACTTACCCAGTATCATACAGCGAATAGAAACGCCCACTCCAGGGAGCAATAACACCTGTTAAGCACAAACATCCAAAGCAAATAACAAGGCAATTAGTGCAACCAGCCAATGTAAATGTCACATCAAACAAAACAAGGGCCCTCGAGAAAACGGTCCTCTTCCTCCCCAAGGACTATACCTGCATACGTGAGTAGGACAACCGCCAGGAATACGACGCCAGCCGTTCCCATGACGCCAAAGAAAAACAGTGCACGGAACTCTTTCTTGGAGAGAAAGTCCTGGATGTATTTCAGGAATGCGTAGGCCTGGAGCAGAGCGAACGTACCTGGAGTTGCAACAGGTTAAGAACAAACACAGAGACAGTCAGCTCATTTGCAAAGCAATCTCAGTCCAAATAGAGCTCTTAGCCATAGGCTGTTTTCAAATACCCTAAATGTGTCAATTTTTAAGGGAAGCTGCCCAACAAGATCTTTTTTTTTGATGCACGATACAGTGTCGGAAGATTTCCATGGATTAAAGAAAGTTGTGTGGACCAATCTAAAGAAAGTCCATAACTAAGATGGCATTGCTCATGCATGCTCTTCAACTTGACACCTGCATGGATTGTCCTACATATGAAGTCAAAACACCCCACTTGTCAGAAAGACATTAAACACTGGAGTAGCACCTGCGGGTTGGCATAGTACTAGCACGTGTCTATATTACCTGGATATAAGACACCCTGTATTTAGGGGCCTCAGCCACTATCCATAGAGTCATGTATAAGTTCAAGCTGCAGGCAGGGAATTTGGATGAATGGCCTAACACTGGTTGCTGACTCAGCCCTTGGAACCAGGGGCCAATTTCATAGAGCTGCTTAAGCACAAAATTTGCTTAAGCGTGAAAAACCTTGCATACAAAAAACAAAGGTTACCAGCTCAAACTCAATGTGATTTTCACTCTATTCACCAAAACACAGCTAAATACAATCCTGAAACAAGACAAATCACATGGAATTTTGGCTGGTTACCTGATTTGTTAAGCAAGGTGTTTTGTGGGTTTACACAAATTTTGTGCTGAAGCAGCTGTCTTCCTAGAAACGACTGATCCTTCAACTTAGGCTGGAGCTACATGTAACCCCTCTCTACAACTGTCCAGCACTGCCTAGAATCGCTCTATTAAGGTTTGGCAACTGTAGGGTCGTTTCTTCAAAACAGTGGGATTCTAACAGATTCTAAGTTTTGGACTGAATCCGTTTGATTATGGTGCCAAGAGGTCAGAGCCCGATGGATGCCAGTGAGCCACAAGTTGATTCACTGTCTGAACGAGTCATTTATCTGGTAAAAGCACCACCAACCGTGCTCCATAGGAGATAGGAATTAATTCAGGGTGTCTGCAAGGGAAATCATGTGTATGTGCCTGTAAGTGCCTTCAAGAGCAGCATGGCACGTTTGGCTTAAGCAAAATACCAGTTATCACACTCTGCATTCAACATTGTCATCTTGTCACAGTCAAGGTTCATGCATAATTCTGACTGAATAACCTAAAACCAGGTTGAAGTGGGCAACTTTTGATAATTGACAAATGTTAATTTTCCTCCTTGAAAAAAAAATCCGAAGGATTATTGTGGAGGTCAAGAACACTGCAAAGACATGAAAACTGGGTCCAAAATATAAAAAAAAAATACCAAAAATGCAGTCCAGGCACACCGTCAGATGGGATAAGTTAGTTAAAAACTTTACAGAATAAAAAAAACTAACACAGAAAAAAAACGTCATACCTGCTGCGGCCATGTGCTCACTAGTTCGAACTGGCTGAAAGCCAACAAAAGGCACCTGCATTGAAAACACAGTACCTAGGATGTAGAACACAGAAAAAGCTGCAGAAGAAAACAACAAAGAAATCAAGACAAGATGAAAAATTAATTCTAAAGAAAGAAATGCATTGACAAATGAAGACTGTTCTAGATCAAATTGACTTTGTGGAGGCTGGCTACCGGTACTTTGTGAAGACCTTTTATTCTTTAGAAATTCTGAGGTGAATGAGAGTTTTTCAAGCTTGCATAAATAGAAAAAAAAATTTCATGTCAGTTATTAAACTTCAAAAACATCCTCAATGTGTCCGTTAAGGGGCTAGAGATTTTGGGGGAAGTAACATCAGATACCTCATTGTTCTAAATATGGATCTGTGTGTGAGTGTCAAATGTTAGCCAGCCAGCAAGCCAGCCAGATGCCATAGCCACAACTAAAGAGATGACTTGCCTACATAGATGCGGTAGGAAAACCGGCCCATCATTAGTAACACACATACGTGGAGGGGTATGAGGTTGATGATGAAGACATAGCCGCCCCATGCTGAGACCTGCAGTCAGGAGAATGCACAATGACGTCACATGGAATAACTTCCAGGGAATAAGGTGTGTGTCCTAGTGGTTAGGGTTTGTGACTCACAAATACAGGGTCGGGGGTTCAAATCCTGCTGCTAGTTATACGTGCTGTGACCTTGGGCAAGTCACTTTAATCCTGCTTGACTCTCTCCACTAGATGGTTGTTGTGTTTGTGTAGCCACTTACGCCAGAAATGGCAGCATCAAGCTGCAGACTCCCCAGGGGGGTGAAATCATTTTAGGAATCTTTGTGGCCTGGTAAACAGTGGTTATAAAAGAGGTGTGAGTGGCCACTTAAAATCAGAGCTGAACTAAAAAAAGTCCCCACATTTTTGTACAGACCAGGTGTACGAAAAAGCTGAAATTCAGCATCAAAATCTCACAAAAAAAGGTGAAATCGACTAAAAAGCTGAATTCTCACACCCCTGTAATATTGATGTATGGCACCTTGATTGAGTTCCTGGATGACTGCACATTATCAGCAGATATGTGCACATGTGCCCGGCCGTGATTCAGACCTGCCGACTCCAGCCCACCGCTGAAAATGTCTTTAACACTTCAATTTGGCAGGGGTTGGATGGCAGATCAATTGCCAATATCCATCCTATCCCAAATCAGGTGTCCCTTCACCCCGGTAATGTAACAAAAATCCAACACGGTCGACATCAGAGCATGGCTGAATGCAATCAACATTCAACACTGTTGAGATTGGAATCTTGCTGAATGTAAGAAAATCCAGACAACAGTGGGTTTTCTACTGTCTGGAGAACCGGATAACTATGAAACTGTGCAACAGACTTTTGTCACTGAGCGGCCACCTTGCTTTTCTACCATTCAAAGCAATGAAACTAAAGGGAAAATAGTCAGTTCCCTTTATCAATGAGTTAAGTTGTGTTACTATTACCAGTTGGTCTATAGGGAATAAGACAAATATGGCTCAATCATGATAAAAGCCTGTAACAGTGCTCCTCTGCCACTTCCAGGAACTGCTAAATCCAGCAACGTAAGACAGGTTGTAACAACGACTGCATTTTGTTCCATCTGTTAGCATCATGGACTACGTAATTCACAAGTACAGTCGACTCTCGTTAATAAGAGGTCCTTCGGACTTGGCAAATGACCTTGTTGTAATAGGTACCTTGTATTATCAGAAATTCAAGCAATAAAAAAATGAAAGGATTGGGACCTCAAAATGTTCTTGTTATAAGCAGAATGTTGTACTAACATATTATTAACGAGGTTCAACTGTAGACATGAAATGAGTATTGTGCACATACAGTCCTTACCATATAGAAGTAAACTAATGCGGTCGCAGCCGACCATGAGACAGCACCACTCTTGACTGCTTTCAACTGTGGAGACCCAAAAAGGTGTCAAATTCTTTACTGAAAATGCAACATGCTACAAATGTATCTAACAAGCACTTTGTCAGGGACACTACTGATAACTTTAAAGAAATGGGCAAGTGCACCAAGTATGTTGAGATGCTGTGTACATCTGAGGCCAATACATTTTGTGCTTCAACTGTTTTTAGGGAAACATCTTGACGTTCAGGGGTGGTGATGTTTAAATTCCAGTGCTTGGAATGAAAAGAACCCATATGTTCAAAACATTCAGCAAGAGAGGACAAAACAAAGGAATTTTAGTTGACTTCCAATGAAACACTGCACCTTCAGAAGAATACAAATGGCCGAACAACTGAGTTAGAAATAAACCATCAAAATATGTCCCCCTTTAAAGTACAAACCTATAAGTGTACAGAAACAGCACCTGTTCTCAAAATGACACTGCAGATGTGACCAACATGGAAATTACATGTACATCGCCCCAAGAACTGATCACTAAAAAATTCACCTAAATCCTATGCGATTACCCTTTAAATGTGGCCATAAAAAATGGTAACCTCTATGGCTACCGGTACATGTATATGCAGCCAAAATAACCATTTGTCCTTATAAAGCCTCCACAGCTGCATTTTCAAATCTGCTACATGTCTGCAAACAACGCAATAGATCTATGTGATTGCAAAATTGAAATTCTGGAAAGTTTTTGGTTGCAGAATTCAATTGGAAAAATCTGGCCGTTTGTCTGCCGTCAGACTGTTCATTCCGATCCTGAGTGGTTCTTTTACCCCTGAAAACAATTATGCAGATGAGGTATTCCAGTTTCAAAATAACACATCTCGGAACAGCGTTTCACATGTACGAGTGTTAGTACACGCTTACAAGTACTTCTGGGAATGTGCCGAGTGTAAGACACTTTTCACACCTATTCATGAATCTGAAATTTCATTCCTGGACGAAACAGCACGATCTTTGCCTGTCACCATGAATTTCACTACCACATCGTCCATGGTAAAAACGTGATTTTAATTTCAAACACAGTAATTCAAATCAATAAAAGTGAATCAAAATGAAAATTGAAAAAAGCTTCCAGCAGCAACTTGGATCCAAGCTGCCAGGGAATACAATGTGATCGTGAAGCTTTCATTGCGGACAACTGGTGTAGCGTATGGTCGAGTATATCATTGGGAATGTAATCGGTTGATTGGTTGGGTGTACTGTGTTATATAAACAGTCTCACATTTGCAATAAACTGGTCGGCTTGAGTTACATTGTAATAAAACTCAGCGTTGTAAGAAGATGCCAAACAACTGCCTTTCAACACAAGAGGTTTCCGTGACTCTAGCAACACGTACCCTGTACAGCTTTGTACCTTGACATTTTTTAATTAAAAGAGCGCCATATGCAGTGAATATATGTACACTCATGAGAAGGCCTGAATTCTAAAAGGTAATTTCTCCTTTCAATTCAATCAAATGAAATATGGAGACAGCCTCAACTTGGCAAGGGGGCCCTCAATCATGACATTCCCCTCCCCCCAAAAAATATATAAATAAATAGAGTGGCTAAAAAATGAATTGAAAGAAATAACACTGTCCAAACTTTGAATGGAACTCAAATGGATGCAACAACAAACATAAGAAAGTGGGCCAGTAACAAAGTTGCCATCACACTGGCATTGGTTTCATGGTGGCTTAACATTTGGGCCACAATTTAAGCTTTCTACAGTCTTATCTTCATACATGCAAGTACCACAATGCAGGTACTACATTGTAACTAGACCAATACAAAGAGTGCTTTCTGCTTTAAATTAGAATAAATGCTTTTTTTTCTCAAAACTGTCAGGGGAATTTTGCTCCATCCATTTCTTTTCACTGTGTAGGGAAATAAAAATTGTTGGGTCTTGGATCTGCTCTGTGGTTTGAAAACTAGATAGGTTTGCAGAAGCACTATGCTCTGCGGTTTCCTTTAACTACAGCCTGCTTGCTTATTCACACGAATTTCCTGCTGCAGCACAGGCCACAATTTATAAATGTTAACCTTAACCTTCCCAAACCACACAGAATTAAATAGTTGTAATGTGTTTATTTCTGTGGGGATAGGTCTGGTAGGCCCATAACAGCTGGCTTTTGCATTGGGTTTGGCATACCTCAGAAAAACAAAGTCCAACAGTCTCTGTGCACAAAGTCCCATATGGGTGTTTAACTGTGTGTGAATGGGGAAGGTTAAGGCCAGCAACCCTGGGGGGGGGTAGGGTTAAGGAAGCACTGTTAACATGAGTGGCCCCTTAACTGTGTTTTGTCATACAACGTTGAAGGGCAGGATGATATAAACAAAGACATGAAATGCACAATCATGATTGTAACAGTAGCAGTGGGGAACGCAGTATGAGTAAATAAACGTACATCCATGCCACCGAATGGCATGCTCAAATGCACATCACTAAATTTAGCCAACAGCAGTAGGCTAATATGGAATATTCAGGACTTGTGAGAACGTCTACCCTCTGTGGCTATTGGTTCAGGGCTAACAGGGTTTTGCTAGAATGCCTGTGAAACTGCTTTTGAAAGTGATTATGTGCAGATTTCTGTAGCACAAACAGTCAGTTAAGTAGGCCTAGTATACGTTTAGCGGTTCAGTTAGGTTGACAAATTAGGTCTGGTTCTGGGATGGGCATTTGCACTGAGCAACAGGTGTATTCAAATAGAAATAGCTGATAAAGGAATCAATGAGTTGGAAAAAAAACGTAAATAGACTCGGGCGGGAAAGGCAAATTATCACAAGGCACCATTTACTCGGAGCTGGTAAAGCCAGTTTTTCTGAATAATGCTCCTTTCTTACAATCTTTACATTTCAGACGGGAGAGCTGGGGAGGGGGAGGAGCCAATTTGTCTTGGTGGGAGGGGAGGGGAGAGCCACTCCTGTTATGTCACTCCTTACATTGCTGTTCATTCACTTTCATTATTTATGATGTACAGCTCCTCGTGGGACTGTTCAAACATGCATTCATGACTGACCACAGAAAACTGATTGCCACCTGGGTTCTCAACAAAGTAAACAAAACTGGGACTAGAAATGTTACTATTATTTACAAAACCGGTAGTTTTTGTTAACACAGTTTTTTTTTAACAAGTCAACTGCCATTTGATCTGTCACCTGTGTCATTATACAATGGTAGGCATTCACATTTCTGACTTCAAAACAAGATATAAAAAGCCTCTCGTACCTTTTGGCCAGGATATTTTGTACCCTACAGAGCAAGAAAAACTAATTTGGCTGATTCACACTGAAATTATTCAGGTACAGAATGTTATGGCGAGCAATACTCTCTGGAGCAAAGCAGCCCCTAAAAATAGATGCACAATGATCACAGATTACGAACGGCGTGCGCAACATCTGATAGGAGCGTTTCAAGTCCCACGATACGTCCAGGGATGATTACATGCCGCCGCTGGTTGATTAAGTCCTTACCCACAAATAATAAGTGAAGAGAAGAGCAAATATAGCGATACCCTCGTTGTCATAGGAACCGGCTACCGAGCGCGAGATGTAACCTGGCACTGGAAGAAAAAGGAAAGAAGAAAAGCTCCAGTTGAAAGGTCCAGGCAAAACATTTTCCTTCATACGACCCTTCAAAATGCACTTTTGTGTCTTAATAAACTTTTGTTTCAATGTGTGTCTACTTTAAAGAATAGTTGGTGCTTTTTTGATTTTAGTTTAATGAGTATTTCCATATTCAGAAGCAAAACTGTCATGCCATCCCTAGAGGAAAACCTCAATATTGCAATGATCTGTGCACACAAAAAATGCTGGAATTGTCATTTGTTGTATGATAAAGTGATGAACAGCCCTTTCTCAGAAGTGTTTTCCACAATTCTAACAGAAAAACCATACCACTAAAAAGAACAGTGTATTCCTGGATTGACATCATAGCAAGAGCACGCTCAGTTCCCAGAAAAGCGTGGACAGTATGTAATGTTTAAAGGTGTGCACCTTTTCATTACACGTGACCCACAAGGAATGTAAAATAGTTTTCATCCTATTCATCAATAACAGAATGAGTGGGTTTTTTTTTTTAAAGGTAGGGGGTACATGCAGGTAGAAATTTTGTCTCTGCATGCGGGTTTATTTTACTCTGGGCTTTCTCAAAGAACGTCACTGAAATTGAAGCCTCAAAAGTTACTCAATTTTAAGGAGTTGCAAACATGTAACAAACGTGCACTGTGAATTAATTACCTGTAGACAGTAAACATTGTTTAAATAGAAATGATTTTTTTATTGTTTGAGATTTTTAAAACGGAGGACTTTTCTTGAGCTCAACAGGCAATCAATACAAACCAATACATGTAAACACACGTCTATCATTTGGTAAATACACTGTATGCATGAGGAAACAAATACGCATAAATGAACATTTGGGACAAACAAACCAAGGTACATGATGTACTTAACAAACACAGGAAAATGGGCCTTCCCTTGAATAAGACAGTAAGTACTGCTTTTAAAATGATCAGAAATCATGGCAACTCCAATGCTGAGCGGCATATTGATGAACATGAACATTTTCTGGTAATGCAAACACTGGCACAGTTCTGGCAGAAAATGAATGGAATTCACAAGAATCTTCTATCACTGCGGTGGCACAACGCTCGTGGACAGGTGGTAGACACACATTACATGCGCCTTCGACCAACAAATTGTCGTGATTTGCCAAATGCATGCGCACGTCGAGCTGAAGAATGTGCGTCTGAGTGCGGTGCCACCGTAGTTATGGCGTCTACTCTAATTAATAAATAAAACTCATTGTTGGAAGCAGTGGACATGTACATATACCGGCCGTGTGTACAACAAAGACTAGGCATGTAGCAACATACAAGGAACTGTATATTATATCACTGTGACTTTTTTAATCTGAATAATTAAAAGAGAAGAGAGTTCAGTCATCTTCAAGTTGGATACATTATATTTACTATACATATAAAATGAGCTCTATGAAATGAACCCATGAAATCTGCTGTATTTAATCAACCTTTATCTTATAGTAGCAGTTAAAAAGGGATTTCAGGGTTAACTCTGACGAGAAATACAACGTACACCAGTCCCCAACAAACCAAATGTATAAAACAGCCCCTAATGAACTGCAAGGTGGTGCAGAAAAGAGCTCCTAGAGACAGAGGTTCACTGAGCATATACAGGTCAAAGATGCACATCTAATGTGCCCAATGGATAAACAAGATGTAAAAGCTTGCAACACAATCATTGTTGGAAATGTCAAATGTACATGCTGGTACATGTATGCACGATCTCTGATCGCTGTGCCGCAGCCGCTTGAGACAGGAATTGGCAGGGCGAATGCCAACTTGACTGTCAGGCTGGGAAAGTTGATGCCTGCTGTCTCAGAAAGCGAGACCTGTTGTTGGGAAATGCAATACTCTATTCATGCTGTTTTGCTGGATGGGGAGAGGAGAAGCCTGTCAGGGGTCAGTGTGCAGAGACATAAGTGGATGATTGCTTCTGGAGATTGGGGGGGGGGGCAAATTAATGGACCAACAAGCTCAACTTGTTCTTGCCTGTGTTGTAAAAGCAGCTGTCAGTGGCCAGCAAGCTCATTCACTAGCTAAGCAGGGCTCTTGGATTAGACAGCTCTGGGAAATGCATACCTAAAGCATAGTGTAAATATGCACAAAGAGGACTCAGAAGTTTTTCACAGGCACACGCGCACGAGTTGAAGATAAATTCACTATTCTGAGTCTGGCGCACTGTAACTTTTTATCTTTTTTTTTACTTGGTGGCATGATATCACAGCACGATTTAAATTTGAAACTTTGCATGGTGGGGTCTGGACTGAGATTTTGGTGGGTACACCATGTGGAATCGATCTCTTCTATGACAGTGGTGGTTCTGAGAAGAACTGGCGAGTGTGAACTCGACCACTCGACCAGAATGCTCTGATCGTCCTCAGGAGAGATGCGGGGACTGGAGTGGAGCGCTGGCTGACAGGTATATTACAGCACAGCTGTTGAATCACCTCTGTTTACTCTGACTCACCTCTGTTTACTCGGACTCACCTCTGTTTACTCGGACTCACCTCTGTTTACCCTGACTCACCTCTGTTTACTCTGACTTCACCTCTGTTTACTCTGACTCACCTCTGGTTACCCTGACTCATCTCTGTTTACTCTGACTCACCTCTGTTTACTCTGACTCACCTCTGTTTACCCTGACTCACCTCTGTTTACTCTGACTCACCTCTGTTTACTCTGACTCACCTCTGTTTACTCTGACTCACCTCTGGTTACCCTGACTCATCTCTGTTTACTCTGACTCACCTCTGTTTACTCCTTGGACACACAGCTTCACCCTGGATGCCAGGTATCAATCTGGAGGGCAAGGAAGCAATGTCCTGCAGGTAGACATGACTTCCTCACCCTTCAAAGCATTCAATGAACTGTTGAACACATGCATGTTCCTGCAACCAATACAAGATTCTGTTCGTGTCCATGTACACTCCACAGTAATCCCTTTCTGCATTGGGGCGTGCAAGTGGGCTAGAAGTGGGGGGTGGTCTGGGAGGGGTCCCTTACCAATAGCAATGAAGCAAGCTGCTAGAAGACCGGCTCCTGGATTCCACAGCTCCTTGGTGAGCCCATAGGCAGCCAGTGCAGTTAACCCACTGCAAACAGAATTAGACAAAACAAGTCCACAATATCTCAACGGGTTCTTACTTTAACGAGAACAGGAGCACTCAATGAATGAAACATGATAAGCTTCCCACTCACATCAGGGGCCAATTTCATAGAGCTGCTTAAGCACAAAGCGTGAAAAAACCTTGCTTGACAAATCAGGTTGCCAGCCAAAACTTCTTGTAATGTATATTGTTTTGGAATGATATTCACCTATCTTTTGGTTAGCATGACAATCACATAGAGTTTGAGCTGGTAACCTTTGGTTTTGTAAGCAAGGTTTTTTGTGCTTAAGCAAATTTTGTGCTTAAGCAGCTCTATGAAATTGGCCCCTTCTACTGAAAATAGTTGTATTAAATAAGTACGTGTACAGTTTACAGATCAGATATTTACATGTATGACAGAAGCCACAGTTTGAGCCAATTTAAGCCACATTTACACTGAAATGACTGTGCTTAAAATGATGAAATGTTACAGCAAGTGATCACATTCCATTTCAGTTACTCCTCTGGGCTTTCACACTTCAACGACTCAAGGCCTGTTACTCTTCTGCACTGATTGGCCTTCTCATCTGTCACCAGATATTATTTCTAAAAATCCAGACTGTAAGGTTCCAAAGAGGTAGCAAAGACCACGCTGGTTCTATGGTCAACCCTATTTCATGCAAGCTTACTTGTTAAATGTTTCCACATTTCACTATGTGGATAACTGGTAAACCACACATACATGTCCATAAATAGCATTCCCCTCAGTAAACAAGACTTATGTGTCACGCTGTGCAAAAATAAGACACATACATGTTCACATACCAGCAGATTCTGTAAATATTCGCAGCCTCAAAGAGCAAATTGCCGCACTCATGCACTGGCCCGGTGACCTCGATGACAATCAAGTGGTCACAATGCACATGTGCATGTAAGTTTTGCTTTCTAGCAGCTGTTCACACGGGATTTTTCGGTGACTTAAAACTGACAAAGTAATTCTTCTGCGACCGAGCTGGCCCTGTAAAACTTACGGTACTTCTGTCGAGGGGAAAACCGACAACTCATGTTCAACAATTGACAATTTATAAAGTACCGTACAAGCACACACACATACCAGAGGTCCAGGCTGGATTAAATTTTGTCAGATTGACAGCAGTAATGTTTAACAAAAACAGGTCAATGCGAACACAGCTTCACACGTAATGCAGTAGCTGGGCAGGGTCTTTTCCTTTGTCAAAACTACACATACAATCCTTCACAAGTGTCTCTGTAATTTTCTTTTTCCAGCTATTTGCACTCTTACAAAGTTTACACATTCACGTTAAGGGCTGCACAGGTTGCATTGGCTGAAGTCTGAAAGACTTCTCATATGTTTATACTACCCTGTACATGTAGGCACTTGAACAAAACCGACAAACAGCCATCAAAAGTACGTTTTGAATTCGTAAACAGGTCTGTAGGTGACATTTTCTTCCCGCTTGACAATGTCTGGCAAACGAGGCAAAGTGGTAACTGCAGTAACTGCTGTATTATGAATAGGCCAAAGCTAATGCACCCTGAATGATTGATATGTCACTACATGTGCATTGTACATGCAAATTACATATACGTGTACGTATAAATGAGACTGGTATGTTTACATGCAGGACATGAACAAAATATGGGACGTTTGCAGTAACACAATGGATGCTACTGGTACTCTTTGTTTTGAGTTGTGTAGTTCTGAGAGGAACAAGCTGTTTCTTCTGATGATGGACAGAGCGCGGAGTTTGAAATGTCAAGTTGAAACAAATCCTTCTTGTCAAAAGTGCACAATACGGGCGATTCACAATAGCGCGCCTCTGTAACAGGGAAAAATGGCACAATTCAAATAAAAAAAAAAGAAGTGACTCAAAGAAAACATAACACTTGGGGAACTCGCTAACAAAACCTATTTTCAAAGGGATCAAAAAGGGAGGAGTCGCAAGAAATCTAAAAGAATAGGGATGCCGAAGCTGAAACTTGATTTTAACAACAACAAAATCTTTTATTTCTTCTGAAAGACATCAAAAAAAAGGAAAAGTAACTAGAGAGCTAGAAAACAAACTTTTTCAAAACAGGTCGACAGATTTCGCGCATTGTGATTGGCCAACACGTTTCAAACTCTTGGGGGCGCACTATAGTGAAACGCCCGTATTCAAAGAGATCAACGACAGTGGTGTGAGCAAAAGCCTTCAATACATGTACCGTACGTGTACCAGTTCTTTACTGCGTACATGTTGCAAATGGCATCAACTTATTCTCAACTTCCATCAGTAACGGCTCAGAGATCATCTGTATCCGGTGTCCCTTTACTGAGATACGATTATCATAATACAATTTGCAACTATTTTAATATGGAATCAGTCTTTGTACATGTACATGGTACATGTATGCCCTGCCTATTAATGGCAAAAATTGCAGATATTGCTGTCAATATCCAAGAAAAAGCCTTCCAGGAAAATGCACTTAATTCTCAGTGTGTAATGGAAATTTGGCATGTGAGTGCATGTAAAATACCTCTACATGTAGCCATTGTACACATATGGCACCTTCACCTGCAAGAACCTGAAGTGGTATCCCTAAGAAGACCAATTTGGATACAGCTTTTTTCCTCGCTAGTGTATCTGTGCATTGGTTCTTGTTAGCGACGGCACGCAGCATGTGAACCACACAGAGAATGCAGCATATTTCCTCTGTTCTCGTTGCTAGGCTACCTACAGAACCCATTTGTACTTCACGCTCAGAGTCGCCAACAAATAGACACAGAAAGCTGTTTTCCTGAATTCATCAGTGACAATTTAATGATTAACTCGGCTGTACAGATGTACCGGTACTGAACCATATCCTGTCCATGTGAATGGACCTCTTCAGGCAATTGGACAAATGAAACAGTGGGAGATGTGATGAACATTCAGTAATCATTCATTCTCCATCATTGCTAATCAACCTTTTCTACTTGGTCCGGAATAGTTATTAAAATAAAAATATTAAAAAAACAATTTAAAAACTTACAAAATTTATGATTTATCCATGAGAGAGGAAATCCCTCTGGCAGACATCAACATGGCTGTTGATGTCGAAAAGCTAACCCTGGCTTATCAGAAACAGGACTTTAAGCTCATTCATCCAACATTGACCAATCACATTCATTTTTTTCTTGTAAATGCGTGTTTTGACTAGAGCCCTTTTAAAAACAAAGTGAAGGCAGTTTTCATTTTTTTTTTCTGCTGAGGAACAAAAAAAAATAAGTTTTGATTTTTAAAATTACCTGTATTAAAGCAGGTACAGCACATGGAAGCCATTCAATCCCATGATGCAATGAGAATATCAGAAAGGTTCATTCAAAATGGATTCATCCGTCCACCATGACACTCAAGTTCTATTCATTGGGTTTATCACTCAGCCACAACGACAACACTACCATGCGTGAGTTTCTGCATTTACAGCCGTCTGGATGTAAAGGACAGAGGTGGCCTGTCTGCAGAGTTGTCGGCCTTTTACCGTTGGGTTCTGTGCAGTTGTCACATATGGTCTGAATCGGATTTCTCTCCCGTTGATCAGTTTTCACATCACCCACAGTTGAATTAAAAACTCAAAAGTCCATTAACCCTGACAGTCCTCAGTCCTCCAACAGGTGAAGGATTGAGGACTGTTGGGGTTAATCATTAGAAACCTGGGTCTGATGTCCTCTCAACCCCGAATAGGGGCATTGGAATGGAAATAATCTGAGGACATCACATTCAGATCCCTTGTGTTTCTTAGTTCATTTTTGAGTATTTACATGCAATTCAAATATGGACAATCACTTTTGAATCTTCTCACTACGTGTACTTTACTCCAGATCTTCCATTCTGCCATAAACTCTGAACTAAACTCCGAACCTTAAAAGAGTTACAAGTTAATCTTCATAAAAGCTGTTATACTGTGCACATAGTTTGCATGTACACGTTATTATTATTATTATATTTCTGGTAATGACACAAGGATTCCTCAAATGTGCCCTAGGCACTGTAGCTCGCAAGCCTGAAGAAACCTGTAGAGAGGAGACAGTGACGAGCAGTTGCAGTTTTAGAGGTGGGAGGAAAAACCCAGAGGAATATTCTGGGTAAAACCCATGGAATCAGGGAGGGACTGCAAAACCCAATCCACATGTGGACTGGGCCGGGATTCAAACCCGGGCCGCAGAGGTGGAAATTAAACTCAGGAGTTGGTCAATGACACAAGTACTAGTACCTGAAGAGAGGAGCTAGAAACACGCACACGTCTCTTATGTGCACTGGTATGTGAAGCAGATGTGCCAACCAGTGGATGGCACCGGATGTAACCATCAGCCCCGGGTAAACCTGTAGCCAATGGAAACAGAGAGATGACATGTATGAAGGCAGCGTCTGATGTCAGGGCTAAGGCTGAGAAAGACGCACGCAACTGTGGAAGCCACTGGCTTATGGATGCAGCTCTTTCCCAATGATGTGTGGTACAGAGGGTATGCATGGCTACCATCTTACAGGACAGTGCTTTCGTTCCACAGGGTAGGCACATGGGAGGTTTCCCTGTGGAACAAAAGAACAGCCCTGCAAGATGGCTACCGCAAAAAGGGTCTATTATCAGTCGCAACCAGTTGAATCAGTAACTTCTGCATGTGCAATTTACAGCAGAAAACTGAGGTGCCGTACCACAACCTCTTCTAGGTAAAGCTTGGAATAGCGGCATGGCTTTCAAAGTGTGGGGGATGATGCTTTAACTTTGAAACACTACACGATAGCAAAATTGAAATGCTAACAGGTTCGCTAAAAGATTTGGACTGCAAACACCCAGTACATGCATTTTCTCTATCTCTAAACCACTTGCAGAGCTCTCTCTTTTCAAGAAAAGAGTTTAATTTTGGATTTGCCCTGCCCGACATGTATTTAACACTGTATACTCAAGTGTGGCCTTGTGAAAAAAAAAGAAAAAAAAGAAAAGAGTTGTTGAAATTATCTAATTCCCCATGAAGGAGAAACCCTACAAGTTCATGTACACATACTTTGTATGATTTGGGTATAACTGTGAAAGCTAGACCTTTGGCAGACTTAACACATCAACAGGCAACTTCTCTGATTCAATCTACCCATGTCACATCAAGGACCCTTTTTGGTGTACATGACAAGTACACGTGCGATGCATGCACGTAATTTTGCAAAGGAAAGTAAGTTTCCAAAACGTCAAGTTATAAGGGGAAGATGTACTTTATCACTGTTTCAAACTTATTTTTGACCTGGGCCCAATTTAATGGCTCTGCTTACCGTTAGTGAAAATTTGCCACTACCTACAGCAACTACATGTAATTCCATGCAGACAGTTACATGTAGTGTGCTGTATGTCGCAGGTAGCAAGGAAGTTTAGATCATGTGTATGCATAAATCCTCTAACTAAATCTTCTGAGCCCTCTTGTGCTGGTACTGTAAGCATTGTACGTTGATCATATTCGAGAAGGCAAAGTTCTGTGATTTTAGCAAAGCCATGAAATTTGGCTCAGCTATCCAAAAGAGTAAGCTTTTCCCATAGAGCACTTCTGCTGGGTGACTTACAGTGCCTCCAACAATCCTGCCCAGTGGATACCAAGCCCTTTCATCGAACCAGTTGAGGAAGTTGTAGAATCCATGAGACACAAGGTGATGAGTGGAGCGATAATTGAACCTGCAAAAAGTAAAACAAAAGTGGAAACAGATAGTCAAATCTATCGACAGCATCTCTCCACAAGAAGTTACAAAAGAAATTAACGTGCAAACATTCTTTAAGCAGAACTAGAAGTGAAGGTTCCCCCCCCCTATGTTTTCTGTTGTGCACTGTGCACAATTCCTTCCATGAATTTGGACTTGGGTTTCTTGGGTGCGCATTAGTGATTACGGATAGAGGCGTGGCTTTGGAGGCATGGCTTTGGAGGCATGGCTTTGGAGGCATGGCTTTGGAGGCGTGGCTTTGGAAGCATGGCTTTGGAGGCATGGCTTTGGAGGCATGGCTTTGGAGGCAGGGCTTTGGAGGCGTGGCTTTGGAGGCGTGGCTTTGGAGGCATGGCTTTGGAGGCATGACTTTGGAGGCAGAGCTTTGTATGTTCTACTTGCATAGATCCATTACACATTAAAGGCTTGTGAAGATTGAGGACTGAGTGTGAGAATAAGCCAGATTTTAGTCAAATTCAACTTGCAAATGGCTTATTCCAGTCTGTGATTTGTGTGTGGCGAGAATGTGCAACAGCTGAGTGTTTAATGAATTATCACCATGACAACTTTATGTGTGTGGGTTTTTGCCGACTGTTTTTTTGGTCGGATTTTGTTTTGCATTTGCGCACCTGTCTCCATTGCATATTTTCTGATATCTGTACACATCACAATTTTATTAGAATCTTGTGAACATCATAATTTTTATCTTTGTTAAGGTTTTATTTGTGTGTTCTAAAAAATTGAGAAACCACTCGAAGAATGCCCCCCATTCTTGATACATGTATAAGTGTATTCATCCGCACATGTACAATAAGTACAAGAAATGATTGACCCATATTTTTAGCAACAGTTTACCCTGTGTCAGCCAGACACGATGTCAAATCTTTTCTGTTTGAGTGCAGCAGAGTACATGCATTTAGTAGTTGGACACTGTTTCAATGTTGACTGCAAATTGACACGAGCGAGTGAGGTTTAATCTGGGCTACCAAGGTGAAACCCTGGGCAACCACTTTCATGAAAGCAGTTGTTCGGGGAGAGGGGAGGAACCATGTTTTGGGGAGATTTGTCGAGCACTGACAGTTGATGAGAATCGTGCATTCCTCACCGGACAAAAACGTCTTCAGTAATGACCAAACATAACGGGGGCCATTTACTTACAGGGGGGTGTTAACGCACAGGATTGTGTTGAGTGCATTACAGGCACTTGTTTTTCATTGTTTCAGTTGAAATTTTTGTTTTTTAAGTGTGAGACTTCCCACATGGTCATAAGAAGGTGAGAATAACCTGAAACACGTGAGCCTCACACTCAGTGTGTGAGAGATGAGAGCCCTGCATTACCAAGAATAGTGATACAGGTGATTCGTTACGCACGCATGCACACGTACATACATGATACATGTACTGCAACATTTAAATGTATGCACATGATACATATCCACAGGTTCTTTTATGTACTGGACACATGTACATTCACAAAAGCTCCAAGCAGTACAAGAATAGGTTCAGTGTTAAGTGCGTGAAAATCTTGGATAAAAATGTACGTTGGAGAACAAAGACCGGTAATGCTACATGTACATGTACCATACTTGTGCATAGGTTTTAATCAAAATGTACATGTACAGTTTGGTATATTGAGGATACAGCACTGTATAGCACAAGTACATGTATCATAAGGATAATTCTAGGAATTAGGGGTCCATTTTTTTTTCCCTGTGTCCCTGTCACATCTGATGATACATACCAGGGGTATGATTTTGTAAGTTCAGAACACATTTTCTAATTTCCAAGAGTGATAAATTAACCCTAACCCTATGTATACCACAAATTACTACTTGTAGTAAAATGTAGTATTCAGTCCTGTCGCTTGTAAGAGGACATGACCTTATTGTTCTCTGAAGCCATAAAATAAAATAGAAAAGACAATGTACCATACAGTGCTGTGGCACTATGAATGCATGGCTTTATTGATCTCTGTACAAGTAACAATGGAAGTAACCTAGCCAAAAGTAGTAATCTGTAGCGCTAGGTCCTTCAGGCTCAGGCTACTACTTAGTATTTTGTATACTGAGTACTGTAAGCCAAACAATATGCTTGGCAGTTAGGGTTAATCATGGAGGAAGGACACAAATGGATTAATGCAAATTACCTACCAAACAAATATTATTAGTTTGAAATCAATTCCGGTGATATTTCCGTGTCAAATAACAAAGGTCAGATGTCACAGGGACACAAAAATGTCAGACGTTTGGCCCCCCATTTCTGGACTTACCCATACAGTGCATGCTTATCTAAGATCAATGTCCTTGACGCATGTCCTTGATACCTTATGGATATCAACTACATCTGTTACCCCTGTTCCTCTAGCCTATAAATCATCCGCAGATCTTGCTCTGACTCCAGATTCAAGACCACAAGGGCCGCTCTGTTTTGCACCTAGTATCCGTAGAGAACCTACCGGTATGCATCAACTGCACGCTCTTAAAAAAAAACAGTCTTGGTGAGCGTGGGTAGGAATACCCGTACATGCACGATTCTGTGACAATTGCCGTTAAGTGGCTTTAATTTCAGTTTTTATCAGCTGACAAGTCCCTTTAAAAACACAGCGGGAGGAGAAGCTGGGTACGAGCACTCATCGGTTGTACAATGTAGATCTGACAAGTTCGGCAATTGGTGATGGACGACATGCGTTAACTTCTGGATATGGAAGTGGGAATTCAATCTCTAATGGCGATCCTGGTTGAGGTTCACAGTGAAGCTTTCACATTAATGCGTAAATTGATATTTATTGGAAAAAAGAAGCATACTAGACACACTGCACGCCTGGTAAAAGACATTACGTACATGTACCGTAGGATGGACTGGTACATGCATGTGTACCAATGCACGCAACTCGGCATGCACCGTAGACCAACTTTAAAGTTGCAGTACATTTACACTACAGATGCACCTGCTCAAATCATTCAGTATGTTTAGAGTTACACATTGAAATTCAAATGTACCCACAGATGAGTGCAATATTCACATTGCAACCAACGAGGGTAATAAAATGTCAACCAATTTGAGTGCAAGATGCAAAGATGCGGATCAAATCATACCCACTATAAAGTGACTTACAGAGCCTGTCTGGCCTGACAAGTTAACTCCAATTCACTTGTACTTTGTAGGAATTAGACTCACTTGCTCAACAACTGATAATTTCCCTTAACCAGGAACTGATTTTTTTAATGAATATTTTCTGGCATCAAAAGCCAACTTTAAGTCGGGGGGGGATACAACTGACGGACTGCAGTAATGGATACGTGTAGTCCTAAAGAGATGCCCTACATACTACGGTAGCTCTATGTTTAAGCACTAATACATGTACATGCATATTTAATGTACACAAATGTAGTTGAAGTCTAGAATACATCCTAGAAGTAATACGTGCATGCATGGTACAGATGCATGTACATTGTACAACAGCATGACAAAGGAAGAGAGAGCCCATGAAGCTTAAATGGGCCCTGACCCCCTTCTTGAAGACATATTTAATTAGGACAAAGCTTCTCATTATTGTCAGAAATTGGAATACCGGTACGTTATCTTTTGCCAATTCAGGTGTGAGCACCAAACAACTCCATTTATTTGGAAAATTCTACCAAGCGTCCAGATGGCATCAAAGTACATGTACATGTGCAATACAGTAAATGTAATCAATTAACTAACTCTAACCCCCTTGGGTGTGTGTAAAATCATATTCACGCAATTGGGAGATTGATACGCTTGAAGAAAAACTGAAAGAATGTTTGACTATTATATAGGAAATCTACTTAAGTGACCAACCCGAAGCCTAGACCAAGAAAGCATTGCTGTTTTGCTTGAACATCTCACCCTATCAAAAAGCCATTTCTTAAGTCAACATTTCTTCAGTTGACAGCTTATTTTTCCAAAAAAAAAAAGGGGGGCATAAAAACTAAAATAACAGTATGATTCTTGAGACCCATGGACTCCCCTTTGTTGACACACTTTTGGAACATTAGTTCTGCCTTAAATCAACTATTACTACAGGCCGGGGATGATCCCTGTGTGGGCTTTGGTGAGATTGGATGTATCCAATCTTTTATTGGCAAATATCAGCAAGGTCTTAAACAAATTGGAACAAGAGTTACCAATAGCTCCCCAGAGAAGGCCCATCTGTCTTTGCTTCAGTATGATCTTCCTTTGCATGGAATGTATCATTCTGTGAATTATTCCCATTTGCGCTCCAAAGGCTACAGCTTTCTTGCCTATGTGGTCTGAGACATTCTTGCCTTCTTAGTGCTGAAGTAGTGAAGCAATGGATAGTGGGAGGAGCCACGGAAGAATCACTTGAGGGGCGTACCCAGTGGAGTCTTGCTTTTTTGTGGCACTTCGCAGTTGTTTTACTGGAATTGAACAAGCAGAAGCTGGCACTTTTCTATTCCCCAAGGACAAAGGAAATGGTGTGAAAAATGTCACAGTCAATGTGCTTCTCTTTGAAAAGGACGTGTGCAAGCTTTCCCAAACAGTGAAAGTACTGACTCAAACACTTTTTAACCACACCTCTCAGCAACATCTACTCTGTTAAAGAAAAGTTATCCTGAGAGAATGAGCTGGAGTACAGTATGTGTAACGGTAGATTTCATGCAAAGTTTCATATTGGCCAGGGAACTTAAGTAGTCGGCAATTTTACATACTGTGAAAGTTACGAGACCCAGGCTTCACAGCGTGGGGCAAGTTCACATGATGACAACAGTTTGACGGTCCTGACGGTTAGAAGCAGTGGCATAAATTGGTATCGGACACTGAGGGGGGATGGGATTGATGAGATTGGGATGGGGATGGGATTAAGATGAGGATCTGTGGCAGGGGGGGGAATGATTTGCCCAGCCACTGAAATTTGAAAAGCCCATACATGTATCTGTATACATGTCCATGTAGCTGCTTGAATGGTTAACTTTATATACATCAGGATGTACTTGAACGTGACACTGTGAAATTGTGACCCGAAACTGAATGTAAAAAATGGAAGCAAAGCTATACAACAGAGGACAAAAAGTCAACAACCTGTCCAGTAGTACACACAGATGAAAACAGTGAATTTGTCTACAGGTTTAAAAACCAGAATCATAGAGTGTACATTGAAACTTTCCTTGTATGACTGAAGATTTTGGCCATACGTTTGAATATCCCAGTTTAACCACTCGTGGACACTTTTCTTTCACACAGTACAGGCTCCAGGAGTGGTGGGCTTTTTTTTGACTGAAAATCTCAACTGCTTCTTACAATGCTGACTGCTGAATGTTCAGAGTCACTTGCTCGGGATTTGTATGATGCCGTTTTTCTTATCATAACCTCATTTTTGCTATACCGTGAGGCCCGAGCATAGAGTGATATTTGCTACACTGATATACGGTAGGTATGTACACATATGGAGACCAATTTAACATGTTTAAGAGGTCATCACAAAATTAAGCGCTTTTGTACGAATGATGAAAACACATATCTGTGATATTTGGCGCCAAGTGTCTGTCGTAAGGGTCATCTGCGACTTCATCACAATCTTTCACACGGTACAACGCAGCACATTGCCAAATGTCCCTTGTTTTGCAGCATATATGTATATGTACATCTGCATCACAGATACCCATTGTTGAGAATAAACATTGTCAATTCTGCCAGGATATGCTATGCAATACTCTCTGTGAAAATATTACTTCTTTAAAACTTCTGTACAATATTATTATTACCCGGTTAAGTATCCATAACCAATGATAGGCAAGGCTGCTGCATGTAGATGGGGCTTTGGTAAAAAATATGCCCGCAGGGTACATGTATTACAGCAATTTCCTTGAAAAATACCATTTTTACTACACCCCCCCAAAAAATATATATTACATGAGAAGTACCACGTTCGTTTTGCTTTGTCAAAGTTCACTGCATGAAATAATAGGAATGATTTTGCTGACTTTGCCCTGTTCAGAATGGTCTCCTGCTGTCCTTGTTTGTGTCACATGCAATCCTAGCCAGATGAAAACGGCAGAAAGTCACAGTTCATTAGCTGCAACATGTGCACTATGGTTCACTTGCTTTTTTTTAGAGGGGGGCGACCATGGGCATGGGACAAGAAAAAATCCACCAAGAAGCAGCAGGATAAAAATCCAGTGCAACGTCTCAATAGTTTTTAGCAAACTTTGAACGTTGAATAACTAAATGCCCCCATGCACATACGTCATTTCAACGATAATCACCTCCTTGTCAATGTCAATCATTTCAGATCAACATGTACAATCTATGCAGCTGGTGCATTTGTAAATACGAATAAATGTAAATGTTTGAGCACAGTCACATGATGTACACTAATGTATTAATGCCTCAAGTTACATGCTCTCATGTAAAAATCTGATAAGAACATAGATATTTGATGTCTTCCTTGTTACTGTCACACAGTAAATGAGGTGTTTTACATTTACGATCGTGATCACTTTCTTGACCCACAAAAACCAAACAAATCACTGGAAATTGTATTGTTGTACTCACAAAAACTAATAAACAATACAAGACGATTAAAACGGTCACAATTAAAAATAATTAACAATGACTGGCACTTTAAAAATATTTGTATGCAATTACTGTATGATATAAATTTCAGTTCAATGTTAAATTATCCTTAATTTAAAGTTAACAGTCCTCAAACCTGATGGCATACATGCAAATGCGTAATTTCCAAACTGCTTTGTACAAAGGGATCTCATCCTTGACTTATGTGAGTGAAAGCACAAATTACAGAGACTAAAATAACAGATTGTTAATTGTTAGCCTGCTTTGGCCTGCGATGTTCATTGTACGTGTACGCTCTTGGGTTGAATAACTGAACACGTACATGAAATGTCAACTGCGCCATGACAACTGAGTAGCCGGGGTTGATACATGTATCTTCCTTGTCTCCTACCCTGTTCGAATCCCACCCACTTCAGCATTATGAATTGGGTTTCGGTCCCTGTAATTTTTTCTCTCGGGAATATATTTTCAGGGTTCTCTCTCTCCTGGTTCCCCAAGCCTCTGGGCTACAGTACCTACACATGCATGACTGTCAAGGAACTCTTGATAAATGAAAAGAAAGAATTAAAATACATGCACATAAAGTAAATATATCTGCAGTGTACGGTACAAGTACATGTATGTGGTTTACCATCATAAGGGTGAGTGTTTCATTTTGCTAACATGTTGTGTATATTGGTACACATACACAAAAAATGAAAAAAACATGAAAACTGTCTTGTTCTCCTCAACCCTTTTCTTACTGCACTGTTTACAAAATTATTGATTTCCCTCTTCCAAAAATCAAATGGTTTGCTCAGTCAAGTGGAAACCAGGAGACTATAATACCTGTACGTTGGAGACCCGTGGGTTGAAATCTCACTTTTTTCAGACCAGATTCTAACCAGATGAAGAACTGGTAGAAATGAGGAATGTTTTCAGGCTTTTTCTTTATGGGGAGTAAAAATCAAGGTCATGTGTTCAACAAAAATTGTCCCCGTTGCTTTTCTCTGATAGCTGCAAGCCTTTACGTCATTCTTGTCACACAGATGGCACGCTCATGCCACAGCAAAACTTCTGATGCAGTTTCAGGAAGCTTTTATTATAGCTTCAAAAATTAGTGCCAAGGGAACCCCTAGAACTATGAGGCTCATCGTTCTGCCTCCCCAAAGGGCCCAATAGTTCCCAGGGTGTACTCGACTTATAGAATACTTCAACACTTGCATAGTCTGCATTTGGAGTCAGGGTTCTATGCTGTAGGTTACACTGTAAGTCCATTTTCATTGAAGCATACATTTTCCCCATCCAGCATACCGGTATTTGCTACTTCACTCAAATTTACACATACACATGATGTTTGAGTGTGTCTCTGATTGTTTTTTTTATCTGTATTAAAAAAAAGTTGACTGGTTTGGTCTGTGTTGATGTGGATGGTGACTTGGAATAATTTTTTTTAGCCATGACCCAGTCCTGCTTTTTTTGCCTGAAAGTGGGCCACAAAAACCACATAGTACGGTACTCTAAGATTACAGAACTTACTATTCAGTTGACCCCTGATAGGATAAATCGCCACTTCTATCCCATTGGCTCAGGAAGACTTTTCAAAAAGGGAAAAAAAGGCCAAAATTGCACTAGATTGCACTGACTGTCTTTTCACATTCCAAAAGTCACAATGACGACAGCACGAAACTAGACAGATTTGTCGCAGTAAAAATTGAAGTTCCACAAACACTCACTTTGCATGTTCAGTGTCATCCCAGTACTACTAGGCCTACCCTACAGCAAAACAATCGGCACTGAGATAGGGCAGTTTACTCTCAAGTATCTACATGTGTACTGCCTAATTTTTCCTAGTTACATGCCTTATGTCACAACTACCTGTAACGTATTAGGCAAATCAAAATTGATACTTATTTACTATGTCCAATTTTTCAGCAGGGAGGCCCTTCCAAGATATTTGAAGTACACTGGCAGATGCCATCAGGGAAAAAAGCTAGAGGTCAGACATGGTTCACACTACTACATGACAGAGTTAACAACACGAATGACCAACATGACCAACATGTCATTGTGCGTGTACATGTAGACCTTACATTGAATTTGTACACATGACAGTACTGGACTGCGGTAGCACAGAGAAAGACACAGACCACTTTTTTTGACATGGAGCAATCTGCAAGGTTCAAAAAGGTGGTATTTTGATTTAAGAACAAATATAAACTGGGGACTGGGATGGGGAAAACTTGGGGAAGCAGTGATGATGAAGCTACAAATTAGTACAATGGGGCAGCGCGGACATCCGGGAGTTTTACAAAATTGCGGGTAGCAACTAGCAACCACACTGCGCCGATGAAAACAACTGCAACAAGCGCGCGTACATGTATGTACTGATCAACGAAAAGATTACGTAATCCGATCCTCGGACTGGTTGGTGCGTGCATACGTCGCCATGGTTCCTGTTTTCACCGGTGCAGTACGGGTACCAGCCATTTTGCAAGAATTCCGGATGTCCACACTGCCCCATACTGCTATAGAGGGCAGGGCCAGCATGGAGCACCCGGTACCCTCACAGAGGACGTATCTTGACAATATAGATTTTGAGGACAATGAAGTACATGTACTATGGCATCTACTCAAGCATATCACACAGGAACAAAAACCTGTCCTCTGTGACTGTGAGGTCGCTCCACGCAGGCCCTCTATTAATTTTGATCAGCCTGTCCTTGGCATGCCTGATGCATGTACCTGTAGGCCTAGGCAAGTTCTTTTCTGATTTGTGGTTGGAGGTCTTTGCAAATGCAAGTGCTGCTAAAATAGCTGGGAAAAATCTGAGTCACACACTGGTTGCATTCAAATTCACTGGCTAGCAACTACCGCAATCCTTTTCATAAAAATTAGCCTTGTACATTTTCATTTAGTAAGTCGTAACAGATGAAAATACATAGGCTACATCATGTACATGTGCAACGTGTAAGCCCTAGGCCTAATCTATTTTGTTAAATTACTTATAAAGTTATAGGCCTCTAGGCCATGCCCATAGGCATGTTAGAAGGTTTAGGGATGAAAGCAACGACAATAGGTTTCAAAGAACAATTCTCACCAAGGATCAAACTCATGGATAATGCTCTCGAAGCGAATGACGGCGAAGAGTCTGGAGCTGAACGCAGCGAGGCAGGCTAGGAACAGAATCAGGAAAGTCAAGAGGCCTTCCACCGCTTTGGAAGTCGTTGGGAATCTCAGCTGCTCATTCTCAGGTGATTCCGCCAATTCCACCCCCTCGCCGGAATCCTGATTCTTGATGGATTTTTGGACATGCCTGTGGCGGTTTCCCAGACTCTTGGGGGCCATTTGGAGCTGATTTTGGCTCCGTTTTCCAGTGTTAGCTGCATCGTATTGTCCACTGTGTTCCGCCATTTTGGTTTCGCACACACATGGATTTTGCCTCAGTCACAGTAAAGACTGTTATTTAAAGAGCAACAAATACTCAGCAGAGGTAAACTTTTTAAATTAAACAAAAATAGCATGAATGTTTTAAAATATCAAACAGTCTATTCATTGGTACTTACAAAAAGTATGTAATTGTAGTTTCAGAAACGTATATTCTGGAGGAAATAAGTAAATATGTGATCGAGGCTATAATAGCTAGACCAATCAACAGTGTTATCGTGTGAGCGCAGAAACGCAGAGAACTGCAGCTAGCTAGCTCTACACCAACTCCACCGCATGGCACGAGTCAGTTCACTTGCTTCGCGATTCGTCGAAGGAAATCCAGCGGAAAAATACAGGATATTTCACTGTTCATAGCAGGAGTTTTTTTATGTCTGAAAGCTTGTAGCCCTATTTCAATATATAAATCACGTTTTCTACACGATATTCATAGATAAATAGTGTGGGGGAGAAGAGCCCATAAAATGCTCAAACAACACCGGGGTCCGTGTAAATACAGTCCAATCGCTAAGTTTTGAAATTGTGTTGAGGAAAAAACAAAAACGAATCTGGTATTGTTTATTCTTTTTTTTTTTACATTAAAGGAAAAACTTACCCTTTACCGGTTTTCTTTTTTAATCCAAACAAGGAAAAAGGGAAACTATCATTTTACCGTTTTCTGTTTTTGAATCCACTGAAAGGGAAAAGAAGGAAAATGAACTCTTTACCGTTTACTGATTTTTTTTTTAATCTGAAAACATGAAAAAGCTTTCTTTTCCGTTTTCTGTTTTTAAAACTGAAAAGACAGACAAATCATTACCATTTACTGTTTTATGATATAAAATTGAAAAAAGAGAAAAATCAACCTGTTACTCTTTCCACCTTTTAATATAAAAGAAAGAAAACAGAAAAACCAAACCTTTGCAGTCTGTTGTTTTTGAATCTGAATTTTAAACAAAGCCCAAACATTTTTCGTGTGCAGCCTTTTGATCTGAAAAAATGAAGCGTTATTGCATTTGCTGTTTTAGAATATCTGTTCAGGAAAGAAGAAAATGTTTGAAGTTAAGTTCAACCTTTTGAAATTGCATACACCAAAGAAACGAATAATAAACCATGTATTTGTTTAATTTCGAGAAGAAAAGCACACTCGTGTTTCCTTTATTTTGTTTAAGTGAGATGAAAAAATCCCACATTTGTTTCATTGACCTGCGTTTATTTTCTCAATGCCATTACAAACCAATGGAAACCAAGGCACAAGTTTCTGCCCGAAATGAAAAAAGAAGATGGGTAATAGGAAAAGGAAAAACGAAACCCTTGGCTGGTTTAAACTCAACAATGCAGACCGCAGCCGAGGTCACCCGAAAGAAATTCGGGCAGTTTCGGAAATGAGGGCGTGCATGTGTTGTGCGCGCGCCGGTCACAGACATAATCAATGCCGGCCCGGCACAATTTTGCACATGTATGCGGATTGACTGCTCCGTGTACGGAAAACTCATTCAGCTTTGATATTCAGCTTAATTTAAATTCACGGAGACTTTTGTTCTTTTCAAAGAGAGAAAAAAGAATATCTTTAGCTGAGGATGGCATGACGTCGTCAAAAATAAGCCGTATTTTTCACGAGCTTACTTTGGAGATCAAAGTATATCTGGGCTATACAGGCCCAAGTGGACTGCCTAGCCTCGCCAGGATTTTTATTCAAGCGGGTTATTTCCACTTTTTTTCAGCTGTATTTGCACGTCCGTTCCTTTTTTTCAGAAAATAAAAAAATGAAAAACATGATTAAAAAAACTAAAGGGAATAGAAAAATTACTACGTGTCCTGAACAACAGAACTGTATTTTCTTTTTTGTCCCGCCTTGATTTCCCATTTTTACCTGTTTCGCCTCTAGTTTCCCTTGAATAACAACTGCAACCCCCAATCAATAATCAGCACATAGTCGCAATGAGTACTTTGCATGTATACTCGCTACCCTCTGGCTTCCCCTCTCGAAAAAGTGCATTTCCAGTAAAATGGGCAAGTTCCCCACAGGATTTTGGCGCTTTTATTTTTTCCTTTATTTAAACCACACTTGTAAGCACGCATACACGATTGCACTCAATAGTCTGCCCTTACAAGAGTATGGTGCAAGGGTATCCTCTTTTTTTGTCAAAGGTTCGACACGCAATAACTCCTGACTCTAAGAATTAAGTTTCAGTAGGACATAAAGTCATTTTTAATTAGATATGTGTCAGATTTTTCCATAACAAAACGTCTGGATTCGCACGATTTGGCGTGAAAATTTGGGTCGAAGTCAGACTTATTTTACAAAAATATTTACCGGCAGATTCCCAATTTTTGCATGCAAATCGATTAAGACAGTCTTCTACTCTCTATATCTAGTTTTATAACCAGGAAAACTAATTTTTAATAAATATTGAACAAATTTGGCGACACTATTTTTTGCATGTGGAAAATAAAATACCGTAATTTTGGGGTTATTTAAAACCAAATTGTTCATTATGATCTTTTTTGAGGCAGGGCACAAAATCAATGTCATGCAGGCTTACTGAAAAACAAAATGATTAATGTTGTTTGGATTTGTCATAAAAAGGTTTACTATTTATGCTCGGTTTCCTGGAAATCCATTGACAAAGACAACGCTCGAAATCAGACATAGCCTCTCACTATGCTGTTTTTAAGTGCAAATCTTGCGCACGCTCACTTCGGTTTAATGAGCGCCATGAACGTACGTTGACCAACGGACAATGGGAACTCATACTGATTTCAAGCAACAGCTGTTTCGAATTTTTTTTTTTTGGTGGGGGGCATTTTTTGGGAGGGGGAAAAGCAACTGTTGATTTTTTTCGTGCAATATTCATGGTTTCTCTGAATTGTGAGGCTCGATTTCAACTTTCGAACGATTTGGAGCGGGAGCAAAATGAAATACATGTATACATTTAATTACAAAACTCGTCTCTTTATTTTCAAAAAGTTGGGCCGGGGGCATGTCTGGGTATGCCGCACCCCAACCCGGAACCGCCACTGATATTCAAACCTTGTCTTTGAAAATAGGGAGACCGACCAAAAATGGGGCTTTATGAGTGTCACGGTTCTGGCCAGGTATTGTCAAGGACCACAGCGCCAGTGTTGTTCACGAAGACAGTGGAAGACACAAATCCTTTCGGTGTCCCCCGCTGATAACCGACAAGAGGTTCCCTATCTACGCAGCGGGTGAATGTTTCCTAGTCGAGCCAGCCACAGGATGCAAGTATTGCAGTGATAAACATGAGATATACTGGCATTCTGTTTTGACAAAAACATTTTGTGTTCCCAGTATCGAATGTTGGTGGAGGGGATTCCGTAAGGTTGTGAGGAGCCCCCACTCCATGGTGCACAGGTGATGCTGCCGTGACCACCTGACTAGCGCCCTCTTTTGGTCCTTTTCGGACAGAAAAGGATCTCAGACTGGCGAAGATCTTCATACATTGAGCCTACCACTGTTCGGGGAGGGACGAACTTTTTTGCCGCTTTTTTATGCAATCTTTAAGGTCTTTCTGATGCAGTGTGAGGTTCAGTTTTGGGGCTCTTTACATAGTTTGGGATGGAAAAGAAAATAAATAGTGTGATATTATTGTTATAAGGTCATTCACCAGCATAAGAGATCAAGCTTACAACAAATTTCTGATTTTACTCTGGGCCTACTTAAAAAATTTTAATTTAAATTGATTTATTTTAATTGGATTGTCATTCATGCTTGAACAAAATGTAAACCAGGTTTAAGGATAAGATTTCCACTGGTATATACTAAACAACAGATAAATGCTTTCTACAACAAAGCCGAAGAAGAGCGTTTTGTCCAAACAGCTCACACCACTCTAAATTTAATAGTCTTGTTAAAACAATCGAAAAACAATTGAAACAACCAATACGTAGTACACACGGTTCCGACAATCGGTTGATTGGACACGTATCTACCAGTTAGTGGCTCACTTTAGGCAATTTATGTTTAGGGTGTTCAATAAAGGTATGTCGTTTTATTTGGTTTTATTTGCTCTTCAACATCCCTTATGCCAATTTTCAAAATCACCAACTTAAAACACAGTAGCCTAGGAATGGGTGTTTAAGTTGAAAAAAAAATCTTCCTAATGCCCACTATAAAAGGTGAACAGGGGCGGATCCAGGATTTCCCAAGGGGGGCGGGGGTAACTGAAGCAGTAATGGTGAAATGCCTGTACAGCGCGGAGCCATTTTGGAATCGAGGCGTTCTATGGTGCAATGTCAGGCAGTACCGTATGACACGTCTTTTTTCTTCTCAGTCCCTCTTTTCTTCTTTAAAAAAATATTTATTAAGCCCTATTTATTTTTCTGGTGCAAAAAGCAGGATGGGGGCGTGCCCCCTGGATCCACCCCTGTTGAACGATCTTATGAGAGGCACAAGACAGTATTTCCCTGATTTTAGGGAATGACAATTTATTTGCATTTTTCGTATCATGGAACTTAAACGAAATCTCAGCCCTAAGTCCCAAACGAGGTTTATATGTAGAACCTCGTTTTCAGCTTCTGGGTTCAAGTGGCTGACAGCTCTCAGGCTCAGCGTGTCAACATTAAGGTTGTCATAATTGACACACGCCCTCTATACAAATCCGCGTCACCCAATTTGCTGCATTACAGGTAACTTAGAAGCAGGAGCATCACAGGAGCATCAGTCTCATTAAATGAAAACACAGGCAAACGCGTCAGGGGGTTGGGGTGGAAGGACACCCCCTTCCCATTTTTAAGAGGCCTACGTGTAGGCTGCCCCGGCTGGTTGGAAGACGCCTCCTTAACAAGTATGAGCCATATAGGGCCTAGGCGTCTTATGCTCAGTGTACGGTTGAGGACAAATCGAAGAGGTTAAGGTGGTCTCGCCATGGGTGACAAATACATGTAGTTACCAGCCCCCCAGCCCCCCCCCCCGAATAAAAATTCCTTCTCGGCAAAAATTCCTGGATCCGCCCTTGAATCTTGTCTGCAAAAATGCTCAAAGGATACAGTGTGGGTGCAATTCTTGGCTACCTTGAACTGACACGTCGCAGACCGGAGTGTGTTGACAGAAATGTATCAACATAGCAAGTTCAGAGTGTTCGATCGACGAGGCAAGCCCTTCCGATTCAACCTCAGTGGCAGACTGGCGCATGTGAAAGGCCTTAACGTGTCAATGTGCTGTACCGCTGTTGCCATGGACACAAGAAACCAGTTATTTTTTATTAAAAGTTTTTGAGGGGTCATTGATTAACGAAACCTCGAACGAGAGCTCAAAGACACTTGAGATCGTCAACGCTCTTGAATAGGGAGTACTACTGTACGTGGATTAAAACTAATCAAGTGTTTGGGCGTCTCCT